ATATATTTTTATATATATGTATGTGTGTGTGTGTGTGTGTGTGTACGTATAAATATATATGTGTGTGTGTGTATGAATATAACTATATATATATATATATGTGTGTGTGTGTATGTGTATATGTATATATTTTTATATATATGTATGTGTGTGTGTGTGTGTGTGTGTACGTATAAATATATATGTGTGTGTGTGTATGAATATAGCTTAATATATATATATGTGTGTGTGTGTGTGTGTGTGTGTGTGTACGTATAAATATATATGTGTGTGTGTGTATGAATATAACTATATATATATATATATGTGTGTGTGTGTGTGTGTGTGTGTGTGTATACATATATATATATGACTTTACCTAAAGTACATTGCAAAATTTCACCCAATTACGTAGCTAGATATTTTATTGGAGCAACATCTAGTTAAATGACATTTCCGAAGGTGTAACGATAGGATCCCCTATGTATTTTAATCACAATGTTTAAGTAGCCCTGCTGACTGTTAACATGGACCAATGGTTGCAAAGGATCACTGTGCCCAATCGCACGTGACTCCACCTCTCTGCGGGTCTTTGGGTACAGAGTGTCTCATTAACCTACAGAGGCCCCTAATGTGATGAGAGTCAAAGCCAGAAAAAAGCATACAATGTTACATTATTACCAGTGCTACAAGTTCAAATATTACTTTATCCACAGAACGGTTCTACGAAATACCACAGCAAGGAGCATTTCCGTCAAATTCTACGTAGGATATAATACACTCATTAAAAACTAAGCAGTTCAGTTGAGTTCTGTACAATCAAAAATGGGACTTCATATAGATAAAATTTACTAAAAGACAAGAGGTCTAGTTTGGTAAGGGTCTTATGCAATGCATCGCTTTCATAAATTAATAAGGTGCAGGTAGCGTTTTGGGATGCAACAGAGGGACGTCGACGTAAAAACTGAGATACTGAGGTGGTTCTGTCATCGTCTTCATGGTACCAGCTGGGTATGGAAACCCCCGGGCTACAGAAACCTCAGCCGTAAGAGCAGGTTCTCCTAATTAACTTGTGAAAAGGGAGCGCAGAAGATAATTTGGTGATTTGTAGGTACCAAAACCACTCGAGATCTAACTGACTATTCCCAAGATCGGTGAGAACAGAGATGATTCGGTCCTGATGCTGAACTGGGGGGGGGTTGGTTGTCCGAGTGACGAGCAACTGATTGTCGTTTCGTTCGAACAGAATGGCTTGTCATCAGGGTTGGGTACTGTCTCTGTCGGTGGCATCCAGGAGTGTGTGTGTGTGTGTGTGTGTGTGTGTATGTCAAAAATCCACCACCAATGCCAATGGTTTGATCCTAAGGGTTGCTGGGACGTTAGGGCGCACACACACACACTTACACACACACACACACACACTTACACACAGCCCTTAGGTCACACCTGTGACACAGCTGTCCACTTAACGCTACTAATACCAAGGCAGAAACAGACAGACGCAACACGACAGCTTGATAATAGCAGGTGACAAAGTCATGATCTCCTCCACAAACACTCCCAGCTACAATCAAGTACAGACCAAAGCTGTCCCATCTGGCCAAAAGATTACTCCCTGTGGGCGAGAGTCAGCATGGTTTAGCTCTAAAAGGTAGATGTGAAGCAGGACCATCCTCTCCTGGCGGTGGGGGGCCTGTAGGACCCCACCCCCCTCCACCGGGCCCCACGCTCACTGGCGCCTCAGAAGGGACGACAAGAAGGACTTGTTGGGGGTGCCAGGAGACTCTGCGGCCTCTGGCTCGCTCTCTAGCTGCTCCAGCTCCGACTGGTCCAGCAGCTCGAAGTCCTCGGCCTCGCTGTCCGAGTCTTCCACCGAGTCCAGCGGGGGCCGGGGCCGGGCCGCGGGGGCCCCCGCCACCCCCTCCAGCCGCTCCTGGATGGCCGCGGTGATGGTGGCGGCGATCACGTCTCCCGCCATGCGGTTCACCAGCTCCAGCGCCGTCTGAGACGACTCGCCCGACGGGTTCGGAAGGCCGATGCTGAGCTCCTCTTCGTCGCCGTTGGTCCCCACGCCGTTGTCCAGTGACGGGAACTCTGGGAGTCCGCCCATGAAGACCTCGTCGACATCACTGCGTCTGTCCAATTCTACAGCCCGTTGGAGACACAGAACAAAAGTCTTTGCACTTCTATTAAACTATATCATATTTAAATTATACTGAAAGCATATAATTGGCCACTGCTTGAATCTTAAAGGGGTCCTATTATGCTTCTGCGGTTTCTCCCTTTCCTTTAGCGTGTTATATAGCTTTATGTCCATGTAAACACTCTGCAAAGTCTTATGGCCCAAAGTGCACATTAAAGGGAGTAACTCTCACCAAAGAAACCATTCTTCTCCAATCTGCCTGAAACGCCTCGTTGGAATGCCAGCCCTTACTTCTGTGACTTGGTGAGGTCACCTCATAACACAACATAACTACAAACTGCAAGACTGAGGTGGAACGTGTAGGGTGAGCTGGCCAATCGCATGAGCTGGCCAATCAGGCGAGCTGGCCAATCAGGGCACACTGGGCTCATTGAGGGTCAGGCTTATAGCTCTAACAGAGCTTCTAACAGAGGGTGAATAGAGATGTGCAGTATGATAAAAACAATTGTAAATCTATTCTAGATCCCCCAAATCACATTATGAACAGTGAAAAGGAGCATTATAGGGTCCCTACAAGGCTTCGTGGGCTTAGTCCAGAGACCTGATCTGTCCAAGGGTCTTATATTATTGAAATCTCTCTCGATGATCACAGCACTGCGAAAGTTTTGGGAAATTCAGCCCTAGACTATGACTGTGGTGATATTTGGAATTGTGGTGGTCACGCCTGGCATGTAATTCCCGCACCCCATTCAGTCTGAGCAGTACGGTGGGCATAGCAAGCGGAAGCATGGTTGTTAAAACATCTGAGATAAATAAAAACCCTTCAGGGGGATGTTTAGATTCATCGGGACTTCAATGCCCCAGGCTTCTGACACATCTGCATATAGTACAATGAAGCATCACGCCGCTGATATGACAGATACTAACACAGCCAAACATACAAAGAAAAAGGCGTTAGGAATGACCTTCTGAATTTTCCGTCTGAGGGGTGTGTTCCTCTGAGAGGTTGAAGGTGCCATTATCTGTCCACGTCACCTCGGAGACCTCCGTGTCTGACACTGACATATCCTTGCAAACGGTTGAATCCAGCTGGGGGCAATCGGGGGGGGGGGGGGGGGGGGGGGGGGGGGGGG